ATTGCGTATCAGACTCAGAACATCGAATGGGTAAGCCTCGCCAGGTGGGGGGAAAAGACTTAAGGTTTAGCTGAGAGGCTTCTGACAGCATTCGGCAGGAGGTCGAGACTCATGGCGTCGGACGGCTAAGCCTTGCCAACCGTCGAATGGAAAGTAAAGTTATGTGGCCGGGAGACTCTAGCCGACGTCCGATGGGAGCACACAACATCGAACGGGTAAGCCTCGCCGACTGTAGGATGGAAAATGTAAAGTTGTCTGGCCAGGAGGCTCTCGCCGATGTCCGACGGGAGCTCAATACTCACGGCATCGAACGGGTAAGCCTCGCTGATCATAGAATGGAAAAGGTAAGGTTGTCTAGCCGGGAGGCTCTCGCCGACGGCCGACGAGAGCTCAATACTCACGGCATCGAACGGGTAAGCCTCGCTGACCGTAGGATGGAAAAGTTAAGGTTGTCTAGCTGGGAGGCTCTCGCCGACGTCCGACGGGAGCTCAATACTCACGGCATCGAACGGGTAAGCCTCTCCGAACGTAAGACGGAAAGGTAAAGTTGTGTGGCCGGGAGGCTCTCACCGGCATCCGACGGGAGCTCAATACTCACGGCATCGAATGGGTAAGCCTCGCCGACCTTAGGATGGAAAATTTTTTGTGAAGTGATTACATTAAATGGTTTCATGACCAATGAGGGTTTGGTGGGCTTTTTTGATGTGAAACTGTTTAGTTCTGATGTAGCATTGATAAGCTTCTGAAGACCAGCTTCCTAGAGTTTGGATCTGCTGCTTGGAGAGGCCTTTTTGGGCTGCTGATGTTGCTGCCAAAGAATGGCAAGAATGGCTGGAGAAATTATTTGCTGGGATGTCCGACAATTGCAGGACGGATCTGAGATACCAGAAGCGCCAGAAGCGAGTGATGGGTTTTTTGGAGTCGTCTAAAAGTTGCTTTGTTTGATTAAGAAAGAAATTGTTTAGCTATCGAGTACGGTTAGGTCTGAGACAGTCGGGTTGATTTTTTGGGATCGAATTTGGAAGAG